GATTTGTACTTTAGCACTGTGGACGGAGCCTTGGCATCTAATTGCAGATCAATAAAGCCTAGAACCATCTCACTCAGAGACGAATCGGACCATGAGGCTGCTTCAAGCCAAATCCCGGAACTCAGCACATCTGAAAGAAAAGAAAATATCGTGAAAATCAAAAGATTTCTTTGATAAATACCGAAGGAGGCACAAACACGCGCAACGAGATCACCTTAACTCAAAGCACGTCAACAGTGCTCAAAATATGCCAATCAAGACTTAAAAGATGCCATATTCAGGCTAAAATATCCCAAATCAGGCTTAAATCACTATCACGACGGTACCAAAAACTCACCCGAAATCCACACGCAAAGCCAACATTCTAAATTTACAGCAACCGTAAAAAACGGACGGGCGAGACCTGCCTCTGACCTGGGCCCTCCAAAATAAGGTCGTTAATGGCGGGAAGCACTAAAACGTCCCTGACGAAAGACTTAAATCGAGAAGGTCCGTCACGTAAAAGAGGCCAAAAATAGGCCGATGGCCATGCAGGAATAATCAATGTCCCGCGACCGGAAGAGGCCAAGAGCAATCTAACGGCGTCCACAACGAGATCAACCGGAGGGCAAACCCAGTTGTTACCCTCTCTCCAATCCGGCGCCAGAGCATCGACAGCGGAACAACCAGGAGCAGCAAACTTGGAGTTAAAACGTGGAAGCTGAGCGTTATAAAAGGAAGAGAAACGGTCAATCGTATTGGGACCCCATTTGGCGTCTACAAGTCGAAACACGGAGGGATTAATACGCTAATCATCCTTATCGACGAACCAACTTAGGATATCAGCTCTCTCGTTGAGTGACCTTGGAATCCACTGCGCTTCCATGGCAATACCGTGCGAAAAACAAAAACGAAAAATGCTCAGAGCCACCGACTGAAGATGGACCTTAGAGCTGCCAACGGAAACTATGCTTGCGGCATTCTGATTGTCGGTAAAAATCCTAACTAGCCTGTGCTTGAGGTGCTCAACAAACGAAATCAAGACATAACAAATAGCTTTCAGTTCGCGAAAAGTAGAACTTTGACCCAAATCGTAGATAATGAACATACCACTGGCCACAGTGCCGTCCAGGGAGACGGAAAAGCCTCCGAAAGCTGCGTCGCTCCCGTCGGAAAATACAACGGTGGATGAATCCAGAGAGGGCAGAATGGAGTAACCATTAAAAGATTCAATGCTACAAAACCAAAACTTCAATTCCTCTAGTAGAGCAGGAGGAAAGAGAAAAACGTGATCCCAAGCTGACCTAGACTCTATAGCTAAGTACATCTGCCTAGTCAGAAGACGGGAAATAGGACCGACCGACCGCCAATGCCACTGAAGTAACGGAACCGGAAATCCTGGCTAATTCGCGATAGGACGATGACCTGCTCTGGATGACGGAATCCAAAAGCCGCTTAAGCTTGCAAACCTTCTTTTCGGGAATCCGAAACGTCATAGAAATGGTGTTGATCACAAAACCGAGCCACTCGCCAACCTGCATCGGGACCTAATGGGACTTTTCCTCGTTGACAAGGACACCGGAAGAGACAAGATCCTTCCGCTGAATAAAAGCTGCTGCGAAGGCAGACAACTTCTCCGGCTGACTACAAAAACCATCGTCAAGGTAAACAAAAGAGTTACGACCCATAGATCGCCAGCGCTTAACCAACGGGCGCAACAATTTGGTAAAACAAAAACAGGCGCCACTGAGACCGAAGGGTAAAACAACGAAAGTGAAATACCTAAGTACGCCGTTAAAGCGCCAGGCAAAACCTAGGTACTTTTGGTGGTCTGGAGAAATATCAACATGGTGATATCCAGATTTGAGATCCCAGGTAAAGAACCAGTGCCCTTCATGAAGAACCTGTGACAGAGAGCTAAGGTTCTCGTACTTAAACTTAAAACGAACGAGGTGGCAATTAACATGCCTAAGATCAATTACTAAGCGAAGCTTCTTGCCCTCCGCCACTGTCAAAGGGTTAACGCAAAAAGGTGGCTCTCGATGCTCCGTAGTACAGCCATTGTCCAAAAGCTCTGAAATTGCATGAAAAACAAGTCAGGATGCCTAACAGCTGACAAATTATTACGTAAAAAACACGGGGCTGGATAACTGGCTAAAAGAATCCGATAGCCGTGCGAAATGGTATCGAGAACAAACTGAGGAGCATCTAAGGCGGACGCCCAAAAACCGACGGAGGACTTTAAACGGCCCTTAACTCTTGCACACGCATTGCCGGCACAAAATTCTTCTGAAAAACCAATGGAGGGAAAAGCACACTGAACGAGAGAATGGTAGTCTTCCCCCTCATCTAGTCATTCGCGGCGAGGGTTGGCCGTTGAAGATTCGGACGAAAAGCACTCAAGTGGCCGAATTCCCCGCACTATAAAAATAAATAGCAAAAAATATACCAAACGACCTGATTAGCTAAAACGAGTGAAACATAAAATAAAACGAAACTGTGGGTTGTAGGCGTTCACAGACCCGAAGGATAAATACGAATATACGAGACACTTATATAACCGCATGCAAACTACTTGACACAACCAAAATACCGTAGGACAAACAGAAACTATGACACACCTAATTAACCGGGTAAGAACGTGCAGAAAACAAATATCTGGTAAACTGCGAACCGCAGATATTTTTGCATTCACACAATACGTGCATGTAACGAATTGTTTTAATGATAAGAAGTGGTGTCCCAAGAAACAAAGTTTTCTCAAGACGTGCATGGTTACTGTTTTGACTCTCTGTCCTTTCATTTGCTTAACTGGGAATGATATTTTAAAAAAAAAACCTTTACAACGATGTTTCCACGTAGCAGACGAGTGTTGTCTTGTAGCAACCGTAACTTTATAAGTCAGCTTTCAAAAAACCAATGAAACGATGACTCGATCGAGGAAGATCTAACTTTCCTAACTCCATGGACAGCATATGTATGTATGTATGTATGTATGTATGTATGTATGTATGTATCTAAAGGATAATTGGCAAGCAGAATTCTAACTTCATCGATATGCTTAGTTGAACCAGCTATGTTAAGAGAAGCCATTTTAAAACCACGTTTAGGAGACAGTACAGTCGATACAGCACAAGGTCCGCATAAGGGGGGAACTGGAGGGGCAAACTGTCCCTAACAGAGTATCTTTAGTAACTTCATTTATCATGTGAAATGGTTTTCTCGGAAGATACGGCAATCCATTAGAAATTCAAACATTTTTAACATAATTAACAAAATCAGAAGTAAACGCCTTGGTTCCGGATAAAGTTAAATGAACGCCGCTCGAATTTAGATATTCACCAATAATGTTAGGATGAGAGATTTAATTTCCAATCATTTTGATTGGCTAACGATCTGAGAATGTTATTAACCTGGTTAGCCTTCGAGTTCATAGCGGGGTCATCAGTTCTTGGTAGGAAGTTCGAGATTATTTCCTCCGTATTGGAGAATTCGGCTACAATGAAGTTTCCCAGATCAACAATTCGTTCAGCAACCTTTCTAGAGTCCGAGCTCTTCAAGTCGTTTGTTCCCATGTGAAGTATAATTTCTTCAGGGCGATACTTCATTGTAGGTTTGCTGTAATCAAACATGTCTTCAACGTAGGCTCCGGGAAAAGCTTTAACCACCGTTTTAACTTTCGTTCCTATAGAGACCCTCCAACCTTGAACGTTTTTAATCAGTGTATATCCTGCGATGACTACAACAGGTTTGTTGGTGCTCACTTGACCAGAATTTGCTTCTGAACTTAGTTAGGTTGAGGCTTAGGTGTGGCCATTGATCGGGTCTACTTGGTATTCTTTGTGGCATTTTCAATTCTTTCGTATGCAAACTTTGAGTCTTCTTTTTCTCTTTCACCCCGACTAGCTCCCAAGGGGCCTCATCCGTAGTTTGTCCCGAAATTTGGATTCCTTTTTTTGGTTGAAGTTAAATTGCATGTTAAATCATTCATATCTTTCGCTAAAAATATCAGTACCAGTCTAAGTGAGTCCCTTTCAGCCTCTACTTCTTTGAGTTTGGCTTTTAAAGCCAAGTTCTCCGTCTCCAAAGCTTTCACTGGGCCAGGCTTGGTGGAAAGATCAGTCGATCGTTTTAACGCTTCAAAATCTAATTCCAGAAGCTCGATGTCATCGCAAACAGAATTGAGCTTAGTTTTGATATCAAAGGTTTCCAGGGCGTTGAACCGTGTCACGATATGACCTCATTGATCTTAGTGCAAAATTTAAAAGCAGGACAAAGAGGGATACAGTATTTGCCATGGCTAAACATTCTTGACATTTTTGATAATGAGATATTTACCTGCTCTGGCGAGAAGAAGAATGAACTCACTTTCCAGCTGAGCATCATGGCATTTCTATCACAAGACCTTGAATGTCTCTTTTGCACTTAGTTATGACTATGCATTTACTTTCTCCACTGGTCTTGCGGGAACTACAAGAACCACCAACGAGCTCGGAGAAGCTGCATGACGCCATTTTAGCAACCGAAGCAATTTAAAATAATGGCAAGCAAGAAAGAGGAAGGCGAAGATAAACATTCTCACCTTCAGGGGCTTCCTGTGTTTTTTTTTGTATTTGAGGCGGAAGGCCAGGCTCCCGTGAGGGCGGTGCAATGCCTGCCCACCGAACTGTCTGATCCAACCCAAGACGGGAGTGCAAGGCCTTAGGGTGGGTCCACCACAAACTGAGGGTCACCTGACACCAACTTCGCTGGGGAATTGAACCCCACCTCACAAAAATTGACACACACACTCTAAAAATAAAACTCACCCACATGATATTAATAAAAAGACTGATAATAATAGCCCCTAGCCAGCCAAGGGAAGGCACACCAAAAAACAAAAGGATAATCATAACCCCCAACCAGCCAAGGGGTGGCACATAAAACAAAAAGCAGAACAGTTAATAATAGCCCCTAGCCAGCCAAGCGGAGGCACACAAAAATAAAAACAAGGGGGGGACACCAAAGGCGAGGGTGGTTAATTAAAAGGAGAAGACCAGGGAGCTATCTACAACGGAAACTACAGTTCCGCGGGCGCCCCACTGACGGAAGAAATAACGCCGACGCCTATCGGACCGGAAGCGCTTCAAGAGTAGCCGAAGGAAAAACTTCAGGCGGGATTTGATGTTGGCCATAACCGCCACAGCGCCAGGATGGATGTTACGATAACGGAAGTCATTTCGGGATTGCCAGATACAGAACTTGGACAGGTTTAGGAGGTGCACAAAGATACGAGGGGTGGCTACCAACTCGTCAGAGTTGAAGCCAAAGAGAACGTGACGGACCAAGAAGACAGGACACGTAGGGGAGAAACAGAACATAAGAGACTGGAGCCAAGAAAGGACACTATGCGCAAGAGGATAGTAGAAAAACAGATGTTCCAGGGACTCCAGAGGAGCACCACAGACACAGGGGAGGGGGACTGACAACCCGAAAGAAACGAGGCGCTGGGCGGTGTACAGGACGCCATGAGCAATTTTCCAGTTTAGATCGATAACTGGGCGGTCGTGATCGAAGAAGGTCAGGGAACGGCAAGTGGCAGGCCAATCCAGGGAAGGAAAAGTAAAACTAAATTTATCAACGCAATGCGGCTGGACCATGTTCTCAGATAGCAAGTAGAGGTAGCAGGATTTTGTGGACATGTCAGTAACAGGAGTGCAAACAAGCGGACAGGAAGAGCCGAAGACAAGACATGTGGACGATGGTGTAGAAAAAAACAATAAAAAAGTTCGATATTTCTTCACTGTTATACTTTCTTACATTAGTTATATGAAAATGTGGGATGAAACTGAATTTCAAAGAAAAGTAGAGGAGAGCTTTTGAATTTATTTGGTAATCAACAGTAACTTTTGCATAACTTGGCAAGGGAGTAATTATAATGAATATCCTGGTACAATGTGGAGGTCGAATGAAAGGAGTCAGTAAAGTAACAAAAGGAGAGAAGATTTTTGTGGTGCAAAATCTTATTCCTGTCAATGTTTCCGTTACTTTGCTAAGTCAGAAAAATTGATAGCAATAATTTAAGATATGTTTGCATCTGTGACCGAGCGCTAATATTGTTTAATTCTAACTACTTGAATGTTGGTAGTTTTTCTACTGAATCTCATCAACATCTTTGGCAAGGACTGTTTCTATTTAGATTGCTGATATTGAGAATGATTCTTCTCAATTTCGCAGAAATTATAATTATAATTACCCATATTAGATATGCAAATTGCTCGTTTATGTTGTCACAACGGCCATATTCGCAACTAATACCAACCCAACAATAACAAAAACTTCGTTAATGTCAGAAGAAAGTGCTCAGGCCATAATTACACAGAATTTTACCTTTAGAAGTGGTTTCAATTGCAAGCGTATGCACTTTAGTCCGCTCCACCGTTTTCAAAACTTATCCATGCTACCATTTGTCGCCACTGCAGTACGATCGATGGTATGTGATTGCGTTACACAGCCCCTAGCTCGGGTCTGGTATGTGGCATCCCTCGTCCACACGCCGGTCTGGTTGGGGAAAGAGCTGTCTCGTTTAGCCTTTTCCTTCTTCTGGTCCGGCAAGCGGGAGCTTGTGGCTCTCTCTGCCGTGATCCAGTCTCCCCTCTTTGTTGGTTTCTCTGTGGTAGATGTTCGTTACAAAGTGTGGGCTCTCCTTGGTCAGTGGGTGAGGAGGCTCGCCTCCTACCCATCTGATTGGTATACCTTCTTTTCATTTTGGTGTCATTCTGCTTTTGGTGTACCTCCTTCGGTTGTGTTTTCTCTTCCCTTCTCTTTTGATCCTAGGGTCTTGCCGCCCTTTTATCATTCCCTTGTTCTGGCTTGGCGTGGTCTTAATGGGTCTTTCTCGGCTTCCAAAAACTGATGACTTGAGCTTTGTGTTCATATCAACCGTCGTAGCGTTTAAAAGAAAGATTTTTCAAGATATCGTTAATGTTTTGATTCGCTGTCCCTTTTATTTGTTTGTCTGGAAGTAATGAGTATTAGAAAAAGTTCGTGCAACGCTGTTATAAGGTTTCATATTCGTGACTTCCCATAACATAACCGCCGTGCGTTGTCTTATTTTGCAACTACCTTTATAAGTCAGCTATAATACAAAAACTAAAGTGACGAGTCGAAGACGATCTAACAGCATGGACAGTAATGAGCTTGTCTAATTGTCTGCTTTACTGCTTTTCTCACTTCACCGATCCTCCAGCAATAAAGAAACGGATTCAAGGTAGAGTTGAAGTAAAGTAAGGCTACCACTATTCCTGTGATTACGACTAAATATGATGATAAAGTTTTTCTACGAAGTGTCACACTTTCAAGTGATTCAGTGAGTTTGGTTGGCTCGATTTTTGTCGTACTTGTGCCTTGTAATAACGTAAACTGAGGAAAATCTTTGTGTGCGAGTTGATTAAGATTACTAAACAAACCGGTACAGCTATGTATAAAAACCAAAAGGCTATGCGTTGATTTAAAACGCAGCATAGAGCAGCGACAGCAGAGAAAACCCAAACGGTAGTTAATATTATATAGGTGCGC